CAGCAGCTAGATGACTCAAACAAAACAGCAACACATACACTGCCATAGCTCCACGCATACGCTCGTCCGAACCTAGTGAGCCACTAGGAAGTCACGAGGGAGCCAAGTCCTGCTCGCAGGTTCTCTTGGCTTTTTCCTTCAGGTGGACACGTCTAGGAATCCAGTATCCGCAGCCGCCGCAGTAGTACTGTACTGTGTAGTAGTAGCAGGAAATCCAGGTTGTACGCCGGTTGCCCAAACAAAAGATTTGTGATTCCGTGAGAGAAGGACCACCGCCGTCGAAGGGTCGAGGGCACTGTCTGCCTGATGTAGGCTGTGAGATAGATGGTGCCACCTATGTGTTCTTAGCCTGCCCGCCCGTGAGGGTCGTGACGAGGCCGCCATACGTGTGTGTGTGTGTGTGTGTGTGCTTGCTTCGACCGCGCTGACCAATGAGAATACGCCAGTCTCTGTGCGTTTGAAAACACAAAATGCTTCTAGAGACCGCCATGCTGTGCGTGTGATGTTTAGAGGAAATGAACACAGAAAGCCTACATGCCCCTTCGAGACATGATCACAGTGGAAGGGGATGTGTTTTGTTTGTGTGTTTGCTTCGAGCACGCCAGCCGGCTGGCTGACCAATGAACTACGAAGCCAGTCTTAAAGTGCGGCTAAAAATGGAATAGTTCATCAGAACAATCACGTATGTTGTGGGTTGTAGCTGACGGAAGTTACCACCCTGGCTCCCGTCGAAGAAGGTATATTAGGTATGTACATACAGGCGAACCTCGGGTAAGGACACACCTGGTGTTTTGCTAGGAATTGTGTCCTTGAGCGGGTAGTGTCTTGAAGGGTAATACTCCTCCTTACGTTGTACATTCTGCGAGCCAAAATACTGTGAAAAAAAAGTTGTCCTTGCGAAGAGAGTTTCCTTCATTCTGGTGTCCGTAAGCGAGGCACGACTATACGTTTTGATCCATGGCACACGCGTGCCCCCTTTTTCATGGACCCGGATAATGCGAAAGGTTCTCTGCTTCCGCCGAACAGCCGACCTTTTACGAGAGCACCCTAAAGTGTGTTTTTGAGCTCTCTCTCACTCTCACTCTCTCTCTATCTCTCTCGCTCTCTGGCTCTCCTGTCAAGCATATGGGGTTGTTTGATGAAAGGTAGTCCAACATCGTTTGCAAGTGCGCACTTAGGTGTAGACCTCGACAAGGACGCCGCCGGCAGAAGTAGCAAAACGCCGGATTGATGGACAGCGTCTTGATGACCCTCATCTATCTAGACGGACTTAAGCGGCATCCAAAGGTGTCACGTTTAGGTAGGACCGGTGTCGGCTACTCTTTGTCCACATAGGACTTGATCTAACAAGAGTCCGAGTGAATTTCGCAGGCTTTGGATCTGATTGGTGGACAACGTGTGACTAGGCAATCGCTCCAGCTATGGAAGCGATGTGAAGCATCGGTCGTTTTTGAGCACCCCTACGGCCTTCACCGAAGGTTGTTGGAAGTTTCGCGTCTCTCGAGGTCCCCAGCAGAGATGCGGTGCAACGTGCCAGCAAAACCCGCTCATTTGCGTGAGGATGCGCTCGAGTCGAGAGGCTGGACATGGCCCTCTCGGTGTCTCGATCCGCCCACGTGTAACACATGGCCCGCAGGAGGTGCCGTTGTGCATGAGTTTGGCCTGACTTGGTCGTGGCAACCACTCTCCGTACAGCCGGACGGGCTAGGTGTTGTTGTGGCTGTTGTTGTTGTCGTCGTCTTGGCATAAGTAGTTCCGTTCCGGTCTCTGCTCAGTATCTAACTCCCTGCCAGTCTAACTACGGGGACGCCTTCCGCGGTCATAGCCCTACAACCCTGAAGCGGGTACACACTTCTAATACCCAACAAGATATGTTATATCATGGCAAGAGCGTGAATAGTTTGTTGAGGATGGCGTTAAGACACTTCGGTCTGAGCGATTCATTTCCTCTCTCGCGGGCGCAGACTTTGTCCCGCCCTTGAGGTCATGAGATGATTACCCCTGCAGCTTGTCGGTGCTATTGATCGCACCGGCGTTCGTGCTACAACAAACTGCTACTACTGTTACGTGTACCTTCGCCGGCGAGCGCGACTGAACCCAATCCGAACCGGCGCAAAACCGAACCAAACTGAACCAACCAAACTGCCGGACTGCCTTGATCCTCAGGTCTGCGCTAACGCGAGCTGTCCGCGAGCCAACAGCTTCAGCCCGTTGGAGTGGTCCAAGTGGGCTCTGCAGGGAACCCGCATCCAGTGCGTCCCGTGCCACAAGCTCAGGGTCCCGCGCCACCGCTCGGTGTTCTGCAACGTGACGTGAGTCTCGCGTGTGTGTGTGTCGCGTGTGTGTCTCATGGTCACGTCGGGTGTCGTGACCTTGTGGTTTGCGGTGGCCGTCTGTGTGTATGGTTTTGACGCTGATGGAAGAAAGAGACCGGTTTGGGGTGGAAGGAGGGTACCCCCCCCCCGGAGTGAACCCACGGCGGCAGCCAATGAATACATGCCAGCCTGTGGGGGGGGATGACCTCTTGTTGTCAGCGGGGCGCTCCGGAAGGGGGCCGCGGATAAGACTGGACGGCGGGGGTAGTTTAATCAGAAGCCAGCAGCCCTAGGAGGAATACGAGTATGCCTCACCAACAGCCACCGCAATAACAACAACAATACCAACGTGGCAAGAGCCGAACGATAAGTTAATAACATTATGCCGGTCGCCGGATTGTAGATTGTAGAGTACTTGTACCAGGAGCCTGCGGTCAGCAGCGCTGGGAAAGTCAAGAGTCAAGAGTCAAGAGTTAAGAGTCAAGAGTTGCCTCACCAAGACCACGACCCCCAACGCCAACGCCAGCAACACGAACCACAACAGCATTGACACCAGCAACAACAACCAACAACCAACAACTAACAACGACAAAGACAAAGGCAAAGGCAAAGGCAAAGGCAAAGGCAAAGGCAAAGGCAAAGGCAAAGGCAAAGGCAAAGGCAAAGGCAAAGGCAAAGGCAAAGGCAAAGGCAAAGGCAAAGGCAAAGGCAAAGGCAAAGGCAAAGGCAAAGGCAAAGGCAAAGGCAAAGGCAAAGGCAAAGGCAAAGGCAAAGGCAAAGGCAAAGGCAAAGGCAAAGGCAAAGGCAAAGGCAAAGGCAAAGGCAAAGGCAAAGGCAAAGGCAAAGGCAAAGGCAAAGGCAAAGGCAAAGGCAAAGGCAAAGGCAAAGGCAAAGGCAAAGGCAAAGGCAAAGGCAAAGGCAAAGGCAAAGGCAAAGGCAAAGGCAAAGGCAAAGGCAAAGGCAAAGGCAAAGGCAAAGGCAAAGGCAAAGGCAAAGGCAAAGGCAAAGGCAAAGGCAAAGGCAAAGGCAAAGGCAAAGGCAAAGGCAAAGGCAAAGGCAAAGGCAAAGGCAAAGGCAAAGGCAAAGGCAAAGGCAAAGGCAAAGGCAAAGGCAAAGGCAAAGGCAAAGGCAAAGGCAAAGGCAAAGGCAAAGGCAAAGGCAAAGGCAAAGGCAAAGGCAAAGGCAAAGGCAAAGGCAAAGGCAAAGGCAAAGGCAAAGGCAAAGGCAAAGGCAAAGGCAAAGGCAAAGGCAAAGGCAAAGGCAAAGGCAAAGGCAAAGGCAAAGGCAAAGGCAAAGGCAAAGGCAAAGGGAAACACCACCTCTAACACCAACAACACCAACACCAACAGATGTTTCAAGGAGGCCTGGAAGAGCCACCAGCAGCACCACGAGCACGTCCGGCGGCAGCAGGCGCTGGCCACGGGGAAGGAGCAGCCACCAGCGGCCTCGGAGTTTTCCCTGAGCCCGAAGAAGGCAGTAGTCGTTGCCGGGGCAGGGGGGGAAGGGGAAGGGGGGGAGGACTTGCTCAAGCCGGAGGAGGAGGAGGATGTTCCCATCAACGCGCAAGGTGAGAGGGGGCGGGGAGGGGGGTGTACTACGGGACGGTCGGGGGGTTGGAATGACTCGTGTGTGTCCCTGCTTCGCTACTGACTCGTATCTGTCTCAGCCTCTGTGTTTTGTTGGCGCTGGATGGGGGGGAGGGAGGTTGGAGCTGCCTCGTCCCTGTCCCCGCTCATCTATTGCTGTTGTTGTTCGTGAATGGAGGGTGTGTGTGTTGGAGCTAGCTCGCAACTGTCCTTGGCTTCGCTCTATGCGTATGGTGTTGTTGGCGGGGGCGGTGGCAGCGTGGCAGTCGTTCTCTGTGAAGCGGTGTGGGTTTCGAGGTACGTCCTCGAAGGATGTGTGTACAACAGCGGAATCGTTTTTTTCCTACCGCCCCATTGTTTCGTCCCGATGAGCGCTCTTTGAACAATGCAGCTAGTCAGGCGAGAGCGCTCTGTTGTGACAGAAGACAGGCTAGTGTGGTATAGCCGAAGGGAGCACAGAAGTGGTTTGGGTTCGGGGAAGGTGAAACACAGGGCAGAAAGACCCGCTCTCGAGGACAGAGATCCAGAGAACATGATGGATTTGACAAGGAAATGGTGGTCGGGTTAAGGATATGGTTAGGGTTGTTGTCCGGTATTTTTGGAGACGGCCTTCGGGCACGAAGGGTCAGAAATGGCATGCCCATCAGTTTCTTTCCATGGTATGTTCCATGGTATGTGTGACGTATGCAGAAACTTGTGTGCTGTGTCTTTCGGGAGTAGAAGCCGTCGTTGCGGAAGGGAAGCATGGCAAACGACGCCCCCCGAACACCCCTCTTCATGTTTCTATTTTTCGCCGTCATCACACTCTCACTCACACACGCGTCCGTTCACATCATGACGGATTGACGATGAGGCACAAACTCACATACGATACACGCACGAAGCGTTCGTTCGAATCATGGTGTAGGCACAAACTTTCACAACACATACACACTGAAGCGTCGGTTTGCCATCACACACGCTCACATGCGACACACACGCGACATACACACGAAGCGTTCGTTCGAATCATGGTCTAGGCACAAGCTCTCACAACACATACACACACGAAGCGTCCGTTTGACATCACAAGCGACACAACAAGGCACGCACCTCACGCTACACGCTTTGCTCGCTCGCGTCGTCCCGTCGTCCCACCAGTGATGGACGAAGAGGAGGAGTGGACGAAGATCTCTACGGACAGCCTGTACACGCCGAAGGAGGAAGACGTGGGGCACTGCCTCCGCCTGGAGTGCCGGGCGGTGTTGCCCACGGGGGAGGAGGTCTGCACCCCCAGGATGATCACCACGGAGCCTGTGCTTTCAAGTGAGTGTTGGACGTGGGCTGTACTCATTGCTGTGACGGGCGGGGGGG